ACCAGAAGAAAAACAAAAACAAACAAACAAAAAATCATTAGAGCCACAATCCAACACAGACTGCACACCAGCCTTGGGACCGGAGCCTCTGAAGACCCCGGATCTGCCTTGGGCCCTCCGCGGAAGCACCCCGGCCACCTATTCACGCACTTACATTTCACCTGGCTGTCTTCGTTGGTCTCTATGAGCAGACTGGGCAGCGCACACATTTCACCAGTTGTTCTGTTTCCCAAGAAAAGGCTGAACTTGAGTGTATTTTCCACGTGCAGGCCACTGGCCGATCCTTTGGTACCCACACACATTGCTCAAGGTCTGGTTGCCATGGTTACACACACACACACACACACACACACACACACACCCTCACCCAGCCCTGCAGGGATTCTTTCATCCCAAGAAACTCAGCCCCTTACCCCGGTCCCTCTCGGGGTCTCAGGCCTCTTCACAGGTGGGGTAGAACTCCTGACTGCCCTTCCTCCAGATAAACACGCGCGCACATGCGTGGGGACCTGCATTTCAGACTCCTGTAAATCAAGTCAGTGCTGTTCCCAGGCTCCCACTGGGACTCGCAGGGCAGAACCCCCAGGCCTGCCGTCAGGGTGCGGCCTCCAGCTCCACGGGCAGCAGAAGGGCCGTCCACACAGGACTGGGCGCCCTCCCCGGCCAGGGTCCCGGCCTTCTCTCCCCTCCCGGCCCCCTCGCAGGGCTGCTTCGGGCCCATTGCGCGGCTGTCTAACCTCCCCCACTGGGAAGCAGTAGCCTCTGCTGCGTCCCTCCACCTGTGCGCAACGCAGCCCAGGGAGGAAGGGTCCCGGCCTCCTCGGCTGGGTCACCGCGGGACGACCCTCCTGTGCCGGCCCAATTCTTCCCCGCAGAACGGAACCGCAGAGTCCCAGCTCCCTGCAGACGGAGAGGGCACCGCCAGCCTCAGACCTGCTCAGACCTGGCCCGGTTCCGTCCGAGGATGGTGAATCCTGACCTCAGTTTAATTTTCTCTAAATCACGCCGGGGCCTAGCATGACTTAGCAAATAAGCACTTTTTTCCCTTCCATGCACCCTTTCTGCAGCCGCTGCAAATCCCCGCTGAGAGGCCGGCGCCTTCCTCCGAGTTCATTTAAATGCGAGCTCACACCAGGTGTGGTCCGTCCTTGGGCCAGGCGAGGCGGCTTCGCGCAGGGCGAATGGACAGTTCCCACCCAGGCCAAGGCAGAGCTGCTGTGCCCGCCACAGCTGCTCCATTCGGATTTAAACATCCGAACCACACAGAGCGATGCCTGGAGGAGCAGGGCTCAGAGCCCGGAAACCCTGGGGGCACCAACACGGGCCCCGGGGCTGGCCCGGCTCCCGGGCGGCTGCTTGCCCAGGCGGATGGCGGACGCCCTGGGGTTTGGTGGGCGGTCTGTTGGAGGGTGCTGTTTTGTTTTTCTCTTTTAAACGTGGAACATCCTCCTATTGGGCGCGGGACCCCCGGGAACAGGGGACTGGGAAGGTGACCCGGGCCGGGCCAGCGCAGAGCTCTGGGTGCGAGGGGGGCTGGGAACCCCAGGATCAGCGCGACACCACTGTCCCCGAGCTGGACCGACCGGTCTCTGCGGGAGGAGGCCCCCGAGGGACCGCGCGAGCCTCCCGGGAGCGGGGTCCGTGGCTCCTCCCCAACTGCGGCAGAAAATTCAAGGAGCCTGGGAACATTTCAAACCCCCAGCCTTGTTTGCGAACTTAAAATGTGGCTGACGCTGTCGGGGAGCCCTTGTCCTCGCCCGAGTTTCCGTTTAAATCCGGTTCTCTCCGTCCCGTCCCCCCCCCCGCCGACACACACACACCCCGAATCAGAGCTGGTGTCTGGTGGGGGCTTCGGGGCGCTGGTGACAGGGGCGGCTGCACCCGCAAATCTCCCTGCAAGATAAGCAGTTGCGAAGGTCGGCCGCGCCCCGGGGGCCGGAAAGACGAACGCCCCCCGCGGCCCTGGGCGCGGGCTACCCCAGGACGCTCGCCGCCCGAATCCCCATCAATCACGCGCCGCAGCCCGCACGTCCGGGGCGCGCTGCAGGGAGCGCCCCCGAGGAAAAACGAGCAGAACGCCGGCGGCGGTGTGGGGAAGGTGGCGAAACGGAGATCACGATCGTCAGCGCAGCTCAAACGCGGGGCACAGACGCGGGCTCCGCTAGGCCGGGGGGACAGCGCGGGGACCGCGGTTACGTAACCCGAGCCGGCGCGCCCGCCCGCCCCCGGCCCGGCCCCGCGAAG